CCCCAAAACCCCAAAACCCCAAAACCCCAAAACCCCAAAACCCCTTAATTATCCATTGAGATTGAACAGATATATTTTAGAATTCAATAGAGGTCATGATTCTATGAAACTCATCTTTAAATTTCTTTGCCTTATCTGGGAGATTAGAGGCATCAATATTCCTGATCCTGAGTTGCTCTGTCATTGACCTAAAACGCTCACGTTTAACCTTCTCCCCATCAGTCAAGTCTTCCTTGTCTTTAATATCAAGTAAGGGCATCATTCCAATAGGCTTAGAAAGAGTAATTGACTTGAACATAAAGACAGTTTTATCATTTTGTGAATAATAGTTGTAAATTGTGCCTCTAACCATGCTTAAATTCTCGACCCACTTTTTACTATTCTTGGCAGCAACAATTCCTTTAATAAAGTACACATTATGGATTATGTTGTTGGCCTTAAGCTTCACCAATTCTTCTAAACAGCTATACACTACTTGGGCTCCTACTTCAAAGCCTATAAGTCAGATAGATTGGTTCACAAAGGGATATTGTAGAATCAGAAGATGAGCAAGGAGCTTTCCATACTTCTCAGCAAGTTTTAGCATCTTTATAAACTTCTTCCTGGTATCCCAAGGTACTTTAAATGCTTGTAAAGCCAAAAATGACTTGCTTAATAAAGACTTTATGCTTAAGAGGGAAGTCATCGAAGGAATGAATGCCTTCCAGCCAGGCATCTCATTTTTCACAGACCACTTGTAACTATAGATAGAATCTGCAAAATGAGATTTAGACCAGTTCTTCCAATTTGAAGTGATTTTATTTGTGAAAAGACCTCCAATAGAGATAGTTACATGCTTACTTCCCAAGCTTATAGGGTTGATTAACTCAAAGAATGCTGGTGCTAATTGCTTCTTCTTTTTATAATTGATCACTTTAACAGCTTCTTCTACAATCTTTGATTTCATTTTCAGCATATCTTTTCCAGAAAAGTCATATTTCTTGCTAAATTCTTTACCAGTGAGATTAAAAGGGGCTGTCTTGTAACAAATGTCAATAAAATTTTCTGACTCAGTGTTACAATCAAGAAGGTATCCTGAAACATTAAGCTTCTCTTCTCCAATAAAGCTTGAACTTTGAGGATTTTGAAAAGGATCTTGGTCCAAATAGCCGAGGTTGTTTACGTTAAAAGTACCGATACCTTGTTCTAATCCTCTGAGGATATCAATACAGGCTCCTTCTGGGCTAGCTCATTGAATGAAACTATGAAGATATTGCCTGCATGACGCATTGAAAGGAGCTAGGGTGAACTCTCCAGTGCCATTAACATTCTTACTCATTACCAAGGCAATATGAATGATAAAATACTTAAAGCTATTCAGCTTGACAATTTTCCTTGGATATGCTGTAAGCTTAGAGAACATTTCCATTCTCATTGGAGCATCAACCCTCCAGTCAGTATTCTTGATATTTATTTTATAAATTTTCATCAGATCTTTCTCTGAAAAAGACGCACTTGGATATGAACTTAATATCCAACTAGACAGATGGAGGTAGTTATTGCACAATTCATCCTTCTCTTCCTCAGTCTTGATTTCTTGACAATTAATAAACAGGCCAAGAAGTTTGAGGATATAGTCCTCTGATAGCTCTTCAAATATGTAAGAATCCCAAAATTTCCCCTTTCCTGAGTAAATACTGTATCAGCAATCTAAAGTTGATTGCTTCCATTCTTCAGCTAAGGCGATCTTCTCAAGAAGTTCAGGGTCGTCCTCAGGGTTTTCATAGGCCTAAAAGAGGTTATAAAGGATATACTGAAGCAGATGATTTACTCTCTGTCTTCACTATGTCCTTAGCAGTCGCTTTGAAAATTCTTATGACTCCTTGAGCAAATTCTTGAGTGGAATCTTTAATTTTCTTTGTGATCTGCTTACTAATACAATTTATACTATAAAGATACTTTAGTAATTCAAGATGATTAGTCACAATCTCAGTCAGAGTACTTTTATCAATCTTTCCAGATTCCAAAATTTCCTTCACATCTTTCTTAAATAGGTCTAGATGGCTCTCTAGGATAGGAGAAGCGAGCTCTAGTCTATAGAGTCATGGCTAAAGAAAATACAGCTCTTTATCAATTATTATATCAAGGAATGCTCCTTTCTATGTCAGGTAAATTCGTAACGATACTTTATCAGAGTCTTCTTTCTCAAACGAAGGAAGCTTTTCAATAGTAAATCCTTCAGAACGATCCATATTTTTCTTAACATATTTCTTGAGATCTTTGGGACTCTCAAATCCTTCTAAGAAATGTGATATTAGCATACCTTTATCTTCTTCAGAAGATGTGTCAGAATCATCATCTTGATCATCAAGATCCTAGAGATTATTAAGGCACTTACTTTGAAGACTTCGTCAATCTCTGGATCATCTAGTTGTGTTGTAAAGAACTCTATATTATTAATTTCAGCAGAAATAGTGAAATTAAAACAAATGTAAATGACTAAGTGCTCTAACCTGTCTCAAAATCCGTCTCAGGCTCTGTTTCCATTCAAAAAGATTTTCAATTAATATTTATTGATTTGGGGTTTTGGGGTTTTGGGGTTTTGGGGAGA